TAACACGGCACTTGTTCCTTCTGAGTGGAAAAGGAAGGGGGAAATATTCCACGCAAGGAAGTGGCAGAACCATTTTCCAGAAAGCATAAATTATTCCTATAATACTAATACCCGACCTGTACATCTCTGATGAGAACTAAAAATTCTTCACAGAAATCTTATAACCCATGGTACAGAAATAGAAATTTCACTGCATGAAGTAATTTAAGAATTCACAGTATGGCAGGCACTAAATATTAGCAACTAGAATATAACACAATTTGAAGAGGAGGTAAGATGCCAAGAAGTGGCTGAGTAATCACTAAACTTCAGAAAAGAGATTCCAATATTAAGAAAAAGTTAATGGAATAGCTCTGAGAGTCAAAAATAAGTAAAATAAAATCTTTAGGTGTTTCATGGATACTACTTAAAAATATTATCACTGAGTTTTGCAAAGTACTGAAGAAAATAGGACCCACGAGGGAAAGTCATAAATCAGGCCAGCTGCATGCAGTTTTTTCTAAGTGAAGGAAAAAAAGATATTTCACATTTTAAATGCTGCTGTAGGGAAAGCCACAAATAACGGGCAATAAATAAATAAAAGGGAAACTGGAATTGCTGAGATTAATTTAAGAAGTAAATAACTAAGGGTATGGAACCAAACAATGTTGCTGTCTTCCACTGTATTCAATGCAGGAAGCCTTTGGAAATACTTTGCAGGGTTTTGTGGCACCTTGGGGTTTATCTATAAGTGTATCTATGTTTTTCACTTCTGGCAGGAAGCACTGTAGTTTGTTCTCATCAAGTAAGGACTTTTCAAAGTCAGCACCTCAATCCTTTTGAAACTGACAGGAAACATCTCCTTGTCCTCTCATTTTCTAAGCATCTCCCCTGAGCTGTCCTGCATTCTGCACTTTACTGACCTATTGCCTTTCTAGAGGTGGACCACAGTATATGTGTCAGTTTGGCCTTGATTATTCTAACTCCACTACCCCCAACAGTCTCAGTAAGAAAACAGAAGTGAGGTTATTGTACAAGGTTTAAAGTCAGACTTCTGTGTGCGAGGGTAGAACAAAAAATCTTAAAAGTAAAATGAACAATACAACCCCAAATAAGTTATTGGGCCCAGTGTTGTGAGAAAGAATGCAGTGGGCTTACCTCAACAATATCTGTCACTGAAAACAGCTGTTTTACTGGAGATACAGTACTCCACTAGACCCTATATATTTTTAAAGGCTCTAGAATGATCAAGGAAATTAAAAATAACTGTATCAGACAAACTGGTTAAAATAATAATAATAAATAGAGCAAAATGCCAGGACTATATCATGATACAATAGTGTATAGTTAACACTATTTCTGCAAAGAAAGATTACATTTCACTCAACTTTTTTAGTATGTGTCAGTACAGCAGAGTAAAAGAGAAACCACGGCATCCTTTTTTTAGACTTGCAATAGTAATTTTCAAAATCTCTTTTGAAAACATGTAAACAAAACTAAAACCACAAATTGACATTGCAGTTTCTCAAGTGGTAAAATGGTTTTCAGAACTACTGCCCCTAGCTGCTTCAATCCCCTTACACACAGTTCACCTTTCTCTCCATAGTTCCAGTGCAGTTGCCTATGTGGATATAGGTTAAAAGTCAGTTAAGAAGTAAATATGAGGTGAGAGACAAATATTACTCTGGATCAAAATCTACCCATCAGACAGAAACCAGAGAGAAGTAAACTGCCAGCTTTTATCAGAGCTGGTTCACTTAAGGGTTTAATACTGTGTGCTGTGCAGTATGTCTATTAAATACATGGAAGAGACAGCATTGAGATAGCAGCTCTTGAGTATGATGCTAGGTGATGTGAATTAGCAGAATTTACACAGGACTCTGAAGAATTTCAGCAGGACAAAAGCAAACTGAATCAGGAGGTAGGACCAACTCAGATTTCAGTCTTGATAAATGCTATGTAGTGTTCACCATAGCTAAATTTGAATGACTTTTAACTCACAAAGCATTCAAAATTGAACACAGCACTGTAGGAGGGGATGTAGGTTTCACTATAAACAATGCACTAGTGACCTGTTCAGTGTCCCTCTGATGTCAAAATAAAGCCAAACAGAATGGTGAGAATAAAGAATGGGGTACAACACAACAATTTTTTAAAATGCTGTTGTAGAAAAACTAAGATATGTTAAAGGAATAAACAGTATTAAATGAAATGAAGGAAGTTGATTGAGAATTTCTAATACTGAAAGACTCAGGATGCTCAAGAAGGGCGAAAGGTGGCACATTTGGTTCATTTACCCAAGTGGATTTTAGAACCCACTGACACCAAGAAAGAAACAACATTCTGTCAGGGAATGAATGAGGTGCTAATGGAACTAAGGGAGGATTGAGATAATGGAGATAATGCCAATATTTGGGGTTTTTTATAATAATAAATTATAGGAGTTTTTAAATGGCATGTCAAGCATCACGTGTCCAGTTTAAGACAGTCTCTATTATGAGGCAGGCTGAGTCCATCATGGTGGGAATCTTTATTCTATTTTCAACTCAGGGTGTCATTACATGAACTTTTCTTAGACAATTCGAGATGATCCCTCAATTGGATAATCAATAGATAATGCAATATGGGAGTTTCAGTGTATCTCTTCTCGTGTATGCTTTCTTTGAAGAATTTGCAATAATGGTGGATTCCCCAGCTTGTCCATGGTTCCCAAGAGCTTTGTGTCATTGAAGGCATATCATGAAAGTTCCACTCCATGATATGCAAGAAATGTGTGTGCTCTGAATACAGCTTTGATATTATGTCCTCTGCATAGTATAAGTCTAGCTACTTCCACTGAAGTGAGGACCCTGTGCTGTCAGAGACATGACACTGAGATAAAACACATTGCATAGTTGAGAGTTCTATGTGAAAATGTGGCAAGGCTGCCTTCACTTACTTTTAACGTCTAGCATTCATGATCCCAAAACTAGCACTGGAAGCCTTAATGAAAGGAATGAAACCACAAGGCAGAATTTTATTTTAAGAAGTCATTATCAATGAATATTCCAGTAGGATGAGGTAGCCTGAAGGAGATAATGAAGAATAGACTTGGAAGGAACTGGTCTGAGAAATTACATCTGAAAAGATATTGCTTGTTGTTGACTGTATTCTGTCTTACTTGGATTTTAGATTTAAGAGAGGACGGTGAAGTCCTTATCATGTCTTACCATTTGCATGATACTTGATTCACTGCTTCCTTTTTGCCAGTTTCAACACAACAGCTGCTTTTTGCATGAAGATACTCTAGATGTCTTCTAAATATCTGCTACAGTTTTTAGTCTCATGCAGACTACAGCAATATATGGTTTAACAAAAATATTTATATATGACACAAGGAAAATAAAAATAGAACTGTTTATAAAATAATTTTATGCATCTGCATTGAACAAAATACAGAGCCAGATTCTGTTACCTTTACTCATACAAAGTAAGAATTTTACTAATTTGGAATTGTATTGTGTATTAGCAATACAGTGTATTGCTATCGAACTAATATTCTGGTGAGACTGGGCACAGAGACAGAGAGCAGATCATCTTCTCTAACTCACACAAAGGACCATGGCCAGAATTTTCCAAAGAACCTGGTTCTGCAGTTAACTCCAGATGTATTTTGATTAAAGGTTATCACCGCTTCTGACAGCAATACGAATTGCCAGGTTTTCCTGGCATTCCTCCTGGTAAGGAGTTTTGAAGATGTAGGCCAAAAGTGCAACTATGGGCACTCAAAAATACTCACCATCTTAGAATAACCTGGTTACAACTGAAAAGAAACATTGGAAATGTTTTCATTGTACTTTTCAGAAAATATCTCTGCATGTAAATTGATCACTAATTTGCTTTCTTTCCAAAAAAAGGAAGTGAGTAAACTAGTAAAATATAACTGGTGCTTTAAAAATCCTCTGTGAAACCCAAACAGTGAGATAAGAATGTGGTCTTAAAATTATTACACTTCACTTAGGCTTTACTCTTCCTTCTTCCTTCCCAAAAAAGCTATAGCAGGAAAGTGATCCATAAATCCCTGCGTCCATTTTATGGCATGGTGCCTCAAATGATGAATGCTGTCATGTTTTGATTAAAAAAAAAAAAAAAACAAACCAAAAAAACCACGAAGTCCATAAGAAAAAAAAAAAAAATCAGTTTAGTGAATTGAATGTTGCTTCCTTAACATTTTTTCATCCTGAACTCATTTAGTAGAGGAAATGGGTATTTCATCAGACATGAATTTGACGTTCCATCACATTATACAGTAAACAGTACAAACGATGTTATTTTTTTTAAATGGAGAAGCTGGAAGAGCTAAGACAGTAGCTGCTGTAAGGCACCGGTTATCTCATTTAAACAGATATTAAATGTGGGTGCCAGTGGTGTGATCATCAGCTGCTTCCCACTTTGTGAATAAATTGCTTAGAAGGAGTCTTTTTGCCTACCAGATGTGACCTAGATTTAGATTTCCAAAGGAAAAAAAAAAGTCTATTGTGTAAAAAACAATTGTGGGTAAAATGCATGGTAAATGAGCTTATCTCACTTTTCCAGGTGTTTAAGCTAATATGTTATGGAATTACAGCTTCATTTATGAAAAATAATTGAGGAAAATGTTCCAGCAAATCAAATTTGGATAAAGGCTTAGGATAGTTATTGTGTTGTTAGCAAGTTTCTAAATTGCAGAAAGAAAAGGGAGCCAGCCCAGATAATAAAAATATAGAAATTTGTGCATCTGTGAAGAGGCTCTTTTAAGTGTCAGGGCTGGCAGTGGTATCCCACCTGTGTTGTGGTCTTGCAAAATGTCATGGAACGATATGAAGAACTGTATTCCTGTCAATGTATGTGAAAGCAGGATTTTTTTTAAAAAAAGATTAAGCATTGATATCTGTTCGCCCTGGATAAGAATAATGACATTGGTAGGTTAAATGTCCAGACATTGAAAGAATAACATCCTTATTCTTTTACTCTCTCCTCTTTTCCTTTCACTGATTCCACAGGGGCTGCCACTCGAAAACCAGACCCAGAGCCTGAGAAGCAGACCGACCATACTGTTAAAATTGCTGGAGTCATTGCAGGCATCTTGCTGTTCGTCATTATATTTCTGGGGGTCGTACTGGTAATGAAGAAAAGGTGAGCAATGAGTAGATCCTTTCTATGTACATATTCATATCACAGCATCTTCTACAGCAACTCTCAGTTTGATACTGGCAAAAGTATCTAGCCGCCTTCCTGCCCTTTGCCGCAGAGTTTAGGAAGCACTGCTCCCTCCCACCCCCAAAGCTTTGTTAGGTTTTTATAAAACCACAGCTGTTTCATTTTGCAGCATTTTCAATGAATTAATGTTTGTGGCTTTGTTATAGAGGAAAAACAACTTGAGGTTAATGATTCTAGCACTTTATGCATTAGTACTGCATGATGGACTCTTAATAATAGAACAATATCTCTATCCTGAAAGTGTGAGCCTCCACTGTATTCAACAGATCAGCTGAAAGTTAGATGTAGTTTCATTCTTGAATGGAAAAGAAATCCTCAAACACAAACTAGAGCTAAGGTAATTTGTGCTAAGAATGGGGTCTGTATTGTTCTGCATAAACTTCATTCCCTGAAAACAAATGAAAATGTTACAATGGTGCTGAACGTTTCCAAATGCTGGTTCAACACACACACGCACTGAGATTGTTTTGCTTTGAATATCATTTGAAAACTGAAACAACATTAGAATTGTAAGGCTTTTAAACCTGGTTGCTTTTCTCGACACTGTAAAAGGAAAAATAATTAAGGGAAAAGTACCTCAGCTAGGGAGGTGGCCTGGGTAAGAAAAAAATCCATGTGATGATAGAAGCTAAGTCTAGATTGCAAGAAATTCATTAGCCAATAGAATTAAGGTTTTAGGTTATATCCTGAGAGATGTGAGATTTGCAGCTTTAGAGATGGGGTTGAGAATGTGTGAGAGCTGTGTAAAGGGGCTGAGTCACAAATTCTTCTTCCATGTCTGCCATAGTCTTCTTACTGTCCCATAACCCCTCACCTCCTTGACATTCACCCTTTATTATCCCCTTCTCTTCCTTTGAGAGCAGTCTTGGCCTGATTTTGCTCATCCCAGCTCTATGTGATTTAATTGTACGTTAACTAATTTGGCAGATCTGAGATAGTCCAAACCCCTGAGCTGCCTGAAATTCTTTCAGAATTTGAACAGTGGAGGTGCACAGCTAAGGAGGCAGCTGCCTGACAGTGCTTCAGGGCAGGCAACAGAAGTAGCTGCTTTTCACTCTCCTTGAAGACAGAAGCAGGGCCATGAGTTAGAAGGCCTCTGTGCAGAGAAAGGTGAGTTCTGGCCAGGTCTGAGGGCTAAGTCATGACAGGAGGTGGGTAGAGCAGTCAAAAGCTGACATACAGAAGAGACTGAGATTTTAAGCGCCAGGGTAAGTCTGACTGGGACAATGAAATCCACCCAGTAACCAAATGTTATCAGTACAGTGTAGCAGAGTTAAAATCTGTTCTGGTTTTGCAATACTTTTTTCTTCCCACTTCTGATTTCTTGCATCATTCATACATTCAATTTTAACAGTTGAACTCCCAAACTCCTCCCTAGGGCCAGACACAGCACTTGGCATGCAGGAAGGAAGGCTTCTTGCAATGTCTGGCCAATCCTTCTTCACACAATTCCTGACTGGCGTTCATCACTCTCTTGCTTCCAGTTCTGAGCCTCTCCTTAAGCCTTTGTGCCAAAGGTAGGATATATTCACCCAAGGGAGACAGGTTCTTCTTAATCTTGAAGGGAGATCAATGCAAAATGAACCAAATAGTTTCCAAGTAAATAAGGTGTCAGGGTCTCTGACTAAATGGATGCTATACCAGCTCTTGCTTCATTCTCTAAGGAAAAGTTCTTTGATATTCTAACTGGTAGGGACAGGAAGGCTCGAATCCTAAGTGTTTGCATGTTAATACAGAAGGATACTTGATTCCTTCTCTACCACAGGACAGTAATTATTATTCATAATAATACCGTTGTTAGACAAAAAGTGCATTATTTGAGCTTTGGGGTTTGGAATAAATCTGCTTGTGACAGAGATGAAACTATTGAAAGTACACATCCAGGAACTCTGTTACCAAATACATACAATTTCATTGTGTAGTACAGAAAGAATGATGCCAATAACTTAAACATATCCCAGAATGGTGCTGCAGCCTTGAACAAAGCAAACTGAAATGAGTTGAAGTGAATATTAAAAAGTAAGAATGGTTCATCTGTGTAACAGGATGTGACTAGGCTTTAATGAGAGTTTCAGGAGGTAGGTATATTGTGTCCCAGACCTCTAAAGCAGATGCTGTAGCATAGAAGGTCTTGAATACAATTACACTCATGACTTAAGCAAGAGATGAACCAGTTATTCAATAGATTGTTATTGGTGCATTAATTCACTATGCTGCTGAGAGCCCCTATGGTTTCACCTTGGTTCAGTTACTGTGTATACATTATGCATTTGAAGAAAATGTATAAATCATTCTGCAAGCTTAGTATAACTCTAGTGTTTTTGCAGTTTTATGATGCTTTAGATGCTACTTTATGAAACAATCTTATCAAGCTAGCATGTCATTTAACTACTGCACTTGATCATTTCATTTCATTTACTTTATCAGGAGTTTTACTGGAGTAAAGATCTGAGTGAAAAATAAAATAGCACCTTGTAATTCAGTGGCACCTTTCCCCTGAGAACCACTTTTCTATCTGCACTATACAGTGCTAGGTTTCACTGCACTGAGTCCACGAGCTCTGAAACTTGTCTTGCTTGGAGCTGGCTACTGCAATACTCCATTCACAATGCACTATCCCAAGACATATCTCAAGGCATATACTGTCTGTTATTCATTCTTTCATGGAAATGGGTCCTTGTAGACTTGATCTCCAGATCTCATGAGTAGATTAAATTTACTTTGTCTCTGGGTCTTCACAGTGCTTTATTAACTTCAAACTATTTCTTTCCATTGTTGAGAGATTTGGAAAGCTGTTTTACTGTATGGGATAACCATGACTTTGTCCAACATACTCTTTTAATAGCCACCTCATTTCATCCAGCAACCATTCTTTGCTTGGTTGGTGCCAGGCACTACAGATATTCACAGATCAGCCTCTTTGACTTTTAATTCAGTAGCCAAGTAGACAAGACCAACATTCAAAGCAGAGTTTTCAGTGCAGCACAGACATGTTTTGGATATGCTCACTGTCAAACCAGTAGGTACAGAAGTTCTGCAAGTATCAATAGTCTTTAGGCATCATTAATTTCACTGTATAGGTCACAGAGAGATGAGGTGGCCTATCTATTCAGTGTGTGGTGTGGAGTCACTAGTGACATTAGGAACAGTCATGGGCACTAAAACATTTCCCATGCGGACACTCAGTCTTTGACTAAAGTAAACCAGATTTGTACACTTGACACCTGAGTCAGGGGAAGGCTGTTACTGCTTTCTTGGTTTTCTCGCCACTCAGTTGTTCAGAGTTCTTTATCTGTTCTGTTCTATATTTCTTTATCCATTCAACAACATTCCTGCATAGAAATGTCATGTAATGTAGATTAGGAACCTGCAAGCTATTCCTAATACCAATATACTCCTCATATCAATGAGATGATTCTTTTCTATGAAGTCAGAATAATGCCAGTAGGCTTTGGTTTCCTCAGCTGTGCTCTGAATCTCTCACGTAAGAGTTAACACAAAGTCAGTGGAAACCAATACATGTGTTTCCACAATTTTACTCCACAATAAAGTGGATTTTTGAATCTGATCCTGAATATTAAATCTCAGGTAAGGCCCTTGATCTCTGCCCGTCTTTGATATACCTGCATCGGACTTTATAAAAAATAAAAAAATAAAAAATGAAGCAAGTAAGTTCACATTTTAGTCAACTTAAAGTAGAGCAATGAAAATGAGAGAACTGTTCCCACAACCTTTTGGAAAAGCAATAGCAATGAAATAAACACTTGGAAAAATTAGAACCTCACTGCTTTATTCTTTTCTCTTTTCCTTTTTTTTTTTTTCTTTTATATTCTATTTCAGCTAAGTTTAAAAAATGTGCAGAAGCTGAGAAATGAGATTTATTGGTCCAAGGTTTGCTTAAAAGTACACATCTTTGGGGCAGCTGTTTTTTTTTTTCAGGGATACCATCTTGCTGCTACAGTGGGAGCGCAATAAGGAAGCGGTTATTAAAAATTAATTATATTGGCTTCTGCTTCAGTTGTAGAATGGAGTTTTTCTGATCATTGCATTTCTCCATAAAATGGTTATTTTCTTTTGCCTGTCTTTAGTTTCTGGTTTCAGCTGTCTCTATGCCTGAGCTTTCCAGTAGTTTCTAACATATGTAATTGTGAGTCTCTTTAACTCAGAGACCCTGATTCTTGGCAGTGGATAAGGAGAGCTTTTGTAGTCAGTGGAGCTGAGCTGGGAATGTAATGGTCCCATTCTCTGATAGTAAATCAGACTGTTCAGTTATACACCTTTGCCAACAATTTCAAGTAGTTAGGATAGAAATTGGAGATAACGGGGATGAAGGAAAACTTCAGTCATCTCCCAGTGCTACCCCTGAACCTTGTTTTTCCCTCTAGGCCAGTTACAAAAGAGCCAGTAAAAGAAATGACTGTGATTATTCACGGTTCCAGAAGTTTACCCTCCTTAGTGGGACAGTCCTCCTGCAGTGAGCTGCATTGGTCTTGATAAATTTTTATAGTGGAGCCTTATTCTACAAGTCATATTTATGAAATGTATTTATGTCTTCAGTCCTGAAGGATGTAAAAGTGCTTTACATTATCGCTATATACAGAATTTATTGAGATAAAATAACCTCCCTAGTGGGAAGTGACTGAAGAGCCATGCACAGAAGAAAATTTGGCCAATGTTGGCCAAAGTCTTTGGGTCACTCTCTTTAACAGAAAAAGACTTTGCATTCATAGAGAGAAAGTAAGTTCGTATACATTATGAAGTAAAATAAAACTTGTCCATATTTCTTAAAAAAGCTAAATCATTTCAGTTATGAATGGTGCTTTTTCATGTGGCCTGAGGACTTGCAAGTCTAAAACTTTCTGTTTCTGTACCTTTTTATCTATTCTCTTTACCTGGGGTTTTTTTTCAGTGTCTGT